ATTGCATGGTAATTTGATCTCAATCGAAAATATGCGTCACTCGCTATTGGTTGTACCTCTCAGAGGAATGAAAAAGCAAAAAGAAAAACGTTACTTAGGGCATACCAAAAGTAGTGGCGCCAATATCTCAATTTCTTATAGATCGCATGAGAAAATTTTCTTTTTTTATGAACAGATAGAGCGTCTTTCGCTCTATTTTTCTATGCTATTTGATCACTATTCAATTGGTATCATAATAATAAAATTTCGATAAGAACTATTTTTGTGTATAACTTCACCAAGATGTGAAGTCCACTAAATGGCTACAGGTTGTATCAGAAAAATAAAATATACCACTAGATGCAACGTGAAAAGCTCTACAATTTACATAAGATCGCCGATTTTATAGTTGCACTTTTTGTTATTATAATGAGCAGGCTTTTAAGCGATCAATGTTCGACCTTGCAAAAACGATATATTTTCTACTACAATATCAATTGATTTTTTCTTATTTCATCGTTGTATTACCTGGTATCTTTTACTAAAAAAAACAAAATACATTAAAAAATGCAACGTAACAAGGGCTACAATTTGCATAAGATCTCTTATTTTAATTGCGTACTTTCTGTTTCCAAAAAAAAGTAAAATTGTCTCCAACTATCCCGAAAAAAATCATCTTTTTCTATATGAAGAAAAATTTCTTGTTCTTTATCTGACATATAAAATAAGCTGTTCTTGAAAAATTGTAGAGCTTTTCACGCTGTATCTAGTGGTATATCTTCTTTTTTAATAAAACCTATCAAGTGATCGAAAATTTAAATGCAAAAAATGCACAGTGTGGCTATATAATCTGCCTGACGTATTCAGGCCCCGCGCGAGGGTCCCAAGATTGGGGGAGTGTGACGAGATTTCAAAGCAGTCAAGACTGAGGAAAGCAAAATTTTTTTCGCATCAGATCTGATGTTAATCTGTTTTTTGCGGACCTAAAATGTAACCATTTTTCGCGAAGCAACAACTTTTTGCAACCTCCTTAAAAAATTTGATTTTTTCTCGCAAATTTTCAAGAAGAGAACTCGAGTCCAATATGAGAAAATTTCTCGATACTGCCGTTATCGAAAGCGACCACTTTGGTGCAAATTGCTCAATATCAAGCTGTTTCAAAGGAAAAGTTGACTAAAGTATTATCCGATCCAAAATGAAAGGCAGGTTACCATTTTTCGCATAACTATTGATACGAACGAGATAGAGAGCTGCGGTTTTCACCATTCGAAAGAGCGATGTCCGAGCCATTGATCGGTATAGAACTGATTAAGACGAAAGATATTTTTTTTTATGTGTACCTTTGAATCAACACTTTTCCTTTGAGTATTTTCATCAATTTTTAGAATAATCTCAAC